GCTATTTTTTTGGTTGTAGCCATCATTGTTGTTTGGCGGGCCTGGGCTGGATTTGAACCCACTACTTTAGGTGTATATGGCTAGCGCCTTAGCCACTTGAGCCACAGGTGCCGAGCCTGAATTGCCATTTTTAATAAAAGATTTCTCAGTCTAGTACAAGGAAGTCCCCCAAAGCAGAAAGCTGGTACCCATAGATGTTAAAACCTTCATCCATCATTTTAGAACTAACACATGACCGAGATTTACATTCAGGGCTTGCAAAGTAAGGGGTCTACATTTAGCATTTATGAAGACAGGGAAAGCCCCTGGCCAGTAAGCAGTTCTCCAAAGGGTGCCTGAGCTGATCCCAGCAGAGCTTCTGAAATGGCAGCTAGCAGTGGGTTACATCTCTTGACTACTTTCCATGCCCGACCCCAGAGAGGCACCAAGGCTAATGTCGAGACTTCTTCTGAAACAAGACATTGCCTCGGACAAACAACATTATCATCTCCAGAGTGTGGGGGGTCAGGGAGGGCACCAGCACAGTGAATGAGTCCTTCTAGGATGGGTGAGACACCAGTCCTGGTTACTAAAGAGGCTACAAAGAGGAAGGCAAGCTGTGCCTTGATGTGCCTTACAGAATAATGCTGGAATCCAGGTGAGTTCTGTTTCCTGTCCAGCAGGAAGCTGGGCAATGTGAAGTCCTTAACTATGTTGGATAAATGACTGAGTCACCTTAAACAGGGGCCCAAGTCAGGAGGTGTGGCCTCAGCAATCTGTGGCTGAAGCTGCCCGACCTTGACCTGGTCCCAGGGGAGCCAACAGGGCCCCATGCTGATTAGGAAGTTGGGCGGGGGAGCCCCTGCCTGAAACAATAAAAGCATTGTTTTTACCAGTCACCCTCAACTATAAACCAAGAGGCTTCCCTCTGCTTCCTAGCTGTGTCCTTGGCCAAGAGACGTCACCTCTCCAAGCCTCAGTTTCTTTTGCTGTAAAATGTGCACAGTGTCCTACTTTGGGCTGCATGAGAACTTCCTAAGGGGGAGTGGGAGTGTAGGGAAAACACTTAGAGTGGCCCCTGCACATAGTTATAAGGTTCAGGCCTCAGGCCAGGCCTGACAGACATTCTAATCCAGTGTTTTCTGAAACCATCTTCTGGGCAAAGCATCAAGTAAGGTTCTCTGGGATGGGAATGCTCAGTAGGGCTAAAGGAAGGTACAGACTCACACAGGCAGTCCCACCAAACTGATACAGTGGTCACATTATCACTCCTGGTGTTACCTCTGTCCTGGACAAGGACTGAGTTCAAATCACTGCTTGTCCTTTGGCTTCTTCAACATGTGACCAGGAAGGTCCATCCGCAGCAGCCTGAAGGCCCCACCTCCAGGCAGTAGGATGAGAACTGGGCTGTGATTGCTGGGGCTTCCTGCTGCTAAGTCAGAAGTTTCTGGCAGTCTTTCAAGAAGTGCTGTGATGAGTGGCCCCTTTCATTCTGGGACTGTCACCAAAGGCACATGCTGCAGAGTCACATGTAGCTGGCAGTAACCAGCAGGCCTGTTATAATCCTAAAGGCAGGAAATGGGGCGCATGGGTCCTCCTATCACAGTGGGGTCAGATTTGCAAGGCCAGCAGAGAACCCAAAAACCCACTTTATAGGTTTTTCAAAACGACTCTTTCCTTTTCTCTGCTCATGACATCTAGTCAGTGCTTTCTGGTGACAGCAGAGGAGGTGGCAGCTGTGTCCTGCAGCAGAACCTGCTCACTATCCTTCTGTGCCGGGATGGACAGCACATGCCCGGCCTGAAAGACCCCTCAGTGGGCACAGCACAGGAGCACCTTTCATGTGATTCAGCGAGCTAGCAAGATCCAGGAATTCCTGTTATCAGCAGGGTTTCTGATTTTAGGTACTTGTCCCAGGCCTGGGCTTCTTCAGGGATCACAAGGAAACTACCTCTCACCACCCAGACCCACCAAGACTGACTGCCTCCCCCCCCCCCCCCGACTAAACTCAGAAATCTTGGTAAATACAAGAAATTGGAACAGATAAAATGTCTAATATCTACTTTGTTTATTTCATTGATTTTTGTTTTCATTTGTATTACTTCATTTTTCTCTGCCTTTGATTTACTATTTTTTAGCTTCTTGAGGTAGAGGCTTATTTTATTTTTTTCCAAGACAGTCTTACTATGTCACCCTCAGTAGAATGCCATGGTGTCACAGCTCACAGCAACCTTAAACTCCCAGGCTTAAGTGATTCTCTTGCCTCAGCCTCCCAGGCAGCTGGGACCACAGGTGCCTGCCACAACGCCCAGCTGTTTTTTATTGCAGTTGCCCTTGTTGTTTTAGCTGGCCCGGGCTGGGTTCGAACCTGCCAGCCTTGGTGTATGTGGCTGGCACCGTAACCCCTGTGCTACAGGCGCCGAGCCAGGTAGAGGCTTAATTTATTATCAGCCTTTCTTCTTTTCTAATAATATGTATTTGGCCTATAATTTCTTTCTGAGCACTGCTTCAGCTGTATCCTGCAAGTCTGATGTCACATTTTCATACCTTCTTGTTTTTAAGATTTATACACACATTCTGTTCTCTGATAGATTAAAATATTCAAACGAAGTCCTGAATTCCAACTCAAACTATAAAGTTTATCTTACTTTATTCCCAGAACTCCTTGGCTATACACTCTCTGTAAAAAGATCTGAAATAAAGTAGCTCCTGAGGAGTTTGCAACTCCTATATACAACAGAAGAAAATCAAAACGAACAGTTTGATGATCTTGCCCTTTGTTTCTGATATACAATTTCAATTGAAAGCCGCAAACGTGATTTTTTTTCTTACCCCTTCCTTCCTCTCCTCTTACCCCTTCTTCCTCTCTCTCCCCCCAAGTTGAACTGAATTGACTGTTTCTCTTATGTAGGAGTGTATTAGATCATCTACTGGCTTCATATTAGTATTGAGTACACTGGATACTTGCTTTTCCATTCTTGTGATGTGATTCTTTTTTTCTTTTTTTTGATGGTGTGATTTCTTAAAATGAAACTAACAAATCATCTGTGCAAAGACTTCCAAAGCCTGCAGAACAAGCCTTACTTTAAAAAACACATCTTAAAGTTAATAGAAAATCTGCCTAAACCACCTGCATGGTTGCCAATCTAGACTTCTTATTTCATGTCATTGTGGTCCCTTTTATAGCTGTTTAGACTTATTCTCAACTACTGTTCACAGAATTCACAGAATTCATTAACAGATATTTTAAATCCAAGGGTTTCAGTGCAGAATAGAAACGAGGCCTACAAATTGTTGCTTACGTGTGGAATCTGAGTCTGATTGTTTAGAGATATGTCTAGAACATTATTGCTTTATTAGTCCTATTTTTAAAAACAATAAATTATTCCTAGGAAACCCACCCTGCCAAGTGTTCTTCATTCTGTGACTATTCTGGGTTCACTCATGACATACCTGATTTTATGGGTGCCCAAAAAACCACCCACCCATGTGCTCTGCTGCTCCGGCAGGTCCAGGGGCTGGCTGGGGTAGAACAGTGCCCCTCCGTGTGTGGAAATACACTATACCTTGTCATTTTCCTCCCTGGTCTTGCCTCTCATGGACTACATTCACACATGAGTCTCTATGTAAAACTTAAATTAGACCTAAACAAGAGGGTTCAGAGAATGGGGACTAATGCTCTTATTAAAGCCACTGACCATGCAAGGAAATAGATCTGAAGCAACAAAAATATCCAGTCTTAGTCTATAAAGAATGTCTTAAAATGTCCTCCGCGATTATGGTCCAAGGTGGCTGTTTTGCACAAGTTCATCAATGACATGAACTTGAAGACTTCTTGGTAGATTTCATGGCTGGGTTTCTTATTTTGTTTCATATAAGTTTTTGTTTTGTGAAAAAGATCTTGGAGATTTTCTCATGGCCCCCGGAGCTCTGTGGAATTGTGGATACCTAGGAGAGTGGACTGGTTTCCTCAGGGATGCTGGCACACCGACCGCATTTGGGGCAGGATCCCTGAGAGTGGTGGCCGTGTCAGATTTGGGAATGGGAGTAGATGCCATGTGCAGAATGCAGGCTACAGATGGCACCTCAGTCCAGCTTCTTATTGTTGTCTGTGTTGTGCAGGGAAGCTAAAAAGTCAACGATGAGCTTGGCTGTCTTCCTGGGTCTCTCCATCACCACAGAGTGCCCACAGTTTTCCAGAAGTTCTACCTGGCAGTCAGCAATTGACTTGGCCAACATGTCTGCGCCAGACACATCGAGCACCTGCCGAGCAAGAGAGGGAGCTAGAAGATACACAAAGATTCAGACACCCACATGTGTGTTCCCCATGGACACAACTTCCACTAAGTATGGGATCAAGGCAGGGGTCTTGGGAGGTGAAGTTTAGGACCAAGTCGCTTTGGTGTTGGGGCCTGTGGCTCTCTGCTGGCATCACTAAAGTGGAAAATACATATTTCCTGCCCTTGAGTAGGCAAAGCTGGACAGGTCAAGAGACAAATGCAGAACAGTGTGACAAGGGTTCTGACGGAGGAGGATCCTGGCTGCTGAAAGAGCATGTATGGGGAGTAGGAAGATACCATCCCTGAGTCCAGGGAGAGCACAGAGGGGACAGTGGAAGAGGGAACGGCAAGTGCAGGGACAGCAAAGGGCTCACTGGCCGAGACCCAGCATGTAGTGGCAGCAGTGAGCAACCTGATGGAGAGAAGGAGCATTGAGGAGGGGCTGCTACTCCAGCCACCTCGGGACAGTGGGGAGCCATGGGCTATGTTAAGGAGAGAAGCTGGGGTAGGGTAGCCCAAGGTATGGTTAGGACACCTAGGAAGATGCAAAAGTTGAGCATTGATTATCACAAGCTGGGGGTGGAGTGGGTAGAATGCTCTTTGGAGATTCTTTGGGGATATCCAGAACTATGTGACTCTAGCCCTGAAATTTGTAAATAACAAGGAATGGTCTTACAACATGAAAGCTGGTACTTTTCCAGAGCTAATACTTCTCAAGCAACTCACTCACTTTCACATGGCCCACCCTGCTCTTATGCTAATCCAGCTTCACCTTCCCCCCCAACATTCTCCCTCAGAAGTAGATTTGCATCCACTCCCCTTAATCACCTTCTCCTTTGACTCATCCCAGATAAGACAGCCCCTTCTCTCCATCAGCAGCAAAAGTAAAAAGGCCAATGAGCTCCAGCACCTTCTGTTTTTGAGCATTATCTCATCAAACCAGTTCATTAAATCCAAGATTTTTCGCCTACTTGGAAGCTGGGTGAGCAAAACATCTCAGCCAAGAAATGGAGCACTGCAGAGAACTCCTGGACCATGACTAGGAAAATGGAGAGCTTAGCAAGAGGGGAGCATCCAGCCGAGGAATCAGAAACCTCTGCCTGGTCACTCTTCATAGGTAAGGCTGCTATGGCAACTGCCTGAGCAGAAAGAAGCACAGCTGCCCTGGAAACATTCAGGGAAATGTAGTTGGGGTCAATAAGTGAAGAAAGCATGAAGTAGAAACTCCCAGCAGAGTGTCTATCCTGCAGAGACATCAGAAATCGAAACTCACAGGCAAAAGTACCTATATGAGCTTCTAGCTTTGGCACTGTTATGCTGGGCACCATTACAAAGCCAGCACTTTCTATGGTCACCCAGAGGCATGCAAAATCACTGAATGGGCCCTGAATAGATATGCATGTCTATAGGAGCCTTATCAACTAATTTTTGGACAGGATATTCATATAAATGGTCAAAAACTCTTCTTGTATCCCATTTCAGGCAAGAACAGGATTAGGGAGAGGCAAGTGTGATAGCCACCTGCGGCACAGAATTTAAGTGGGTACCAAAAAACTCAGCAATCAAGATGAAAAAAAAAATTTTTTTTTTTTAGGCAGAGTCTTACTTTGCCACCCTCAGTAGAATACCATGGCGTCACAGCTCACAGCAACCTCAAACTCTTGGGCTCAATTGATTCTCTTGCCTCAGCCTCTTGAGTAGCTGGGACTACAGGCACTCACTATAATGCCAGGCTATTTTTAGAGATGAGATCTCAAACTCAGGCAATCTACATGCCTTGGCCTCCTAGAGCACTGGGATTACAGGCAGGAGCCACCATGCCTGGCTAAGACGAAAAATACTTCAATGCAGTATTGAAAAATAAACATGATGGGGCGTAGTGGCGCATGCCTGTAACCCCAGCACCCTAGGAGGCTGAGGCACGTGGATTGCTCGAGCTCAGGAGTTCAAGCAAAAGTGAGGCCCTGTCTCTAAAAAAAATAGCTGGGTGTTGTGGCAGGTGCCTGCAGTCCCAGCTACAAGGATTGTTTGAGCCCAAGAGTTTGAGATTATTGTGAGCTACAGTGCCACGGCACTCTGCCCAGGGTGACTGAGTGAGATTCTATCTAAATAAATATATAAATAAATAAATAAAATAAGCCATTAGGACAGATTCATGATATTCAAAATATCAAAATTATAAATACAAGCAGCATCCAATCCTGAACTTGTATGACAGATCTCTTACCCTACCCTACTTTCAGCCCTGCAGTACTCTATAGCAGTAGGCAGATCATAAGGTTCTGGTTGTCTTGGTCCCTACTGTATCCTTATGTCCCAATACACCATCAGGCACATACTAAGTGCTCAATAAATACCTATTAAGTGGCTTAAAAGTGATCTCCCCAAGGCCCTCCCACTCTAGTGGATGAGCACAGAGGAGAGATGCACGGACTGATATGCAGGGTTCTCAGGTTCAGTTGTGGAGACTGTATACTGTCCAAATTCAGGGGATATCATTCACATAGATAATGATGCACAGGGCTTCCCTTGCAGTTGTGCAGCACAGTAGCCTGCCTACAGGGTTTCAGAGAAGGAGGCTGAATTCAGCCTGGCAGGGGGAGCACTGTGATACCAAATGTGGATGAGAAAGCAGAGAAAGAGCTAGAGAACTTGGGAAGCAGTAAAGCCATGGAATAAAATACTCGCTACTTGGCTCTGCCCTAGGGATAGTCCACAAAACATAGAAAGACTGTGATCACATTTATAGTACCCCCATAGTATATTAGGTTCTTTTTCTGGAATAAAATGAACTTCAGAGTCTGAAAGAAAATTCTGGGCCATGGGCTGAAGCCAGCTATCAGAAGCAAAAAGGCTTGGCGCCTGTAGCACAGTGGTTATGGTGACAGTCATATACACTGAGGGTGGTGGGTTCAAACCCAACCCAGGCCAACTAAACGACTGCAACAACAAAAAAAATAGCCGGGCATTGTGGTGGGCACCTGTTGTCCCAGCTACTTGGGAAGCTGAGGCAAGAGAATCTCTTAAGCCCATGAGTTGGAGGTTGCTGTGACATCACAGCACTCTACCGAGGGCAACATAGTGAGACTCTGTCTCAAAAAAAAAAAAAAAATGATGTGCCAAAAAAATGTATATACATCTTATGAAAGGAAAAAACTACATTAAAATTATAATACTCAAGTCACGTTTGACTTCTGCAATTACAAGAGATACAAGATAACAAACATTATCGGTACATAGTATTAAGTATTACAATTGGAATGCAGTTTTTTCCCCTTGCTTCAAACCTGCATACATTTTTGGGGGCACCCTCTGTATATTATCTCATGTGAGGTTCATAATAACTCTCATAGTGTAGAAAAAAAATCCTTGATTTTGCAGGGCTGAGTGATTGCTCAAGGTCACAGGCTGATAAAGGGTAAAGGCAGGGCTAGAACACAGACTGTCAGACACTGTGGCAGCGCTCTCAGTCTACCCTGTCACCACAGGACAGGACACGGCCTCTCACTGTTGATCCCAAGGGCCCCAAATCACCTTTGGGATTTTCAGAATGGTGAAAGGCCTTCATTGTTCTGTCTCTATTTTTTGATTCAATGACTTCCTGCTGGCTTAACTTGGAACTTGGGCATAGACAAGCTTCTTTCAGCCCTAGACTGCTGCTGGAGGGAGGATGTGAGACCCCCTCCTCTCCATGGAAACATTTCTGCACCGTGTATCCTCAGCCAGACCTGGCTGGTCTGAGACACATGCTCTGGGCAGATGCCCACTTCTCCTCCCCGGTCCCTCCTGCCTGGGCCATCCACTCACCTGTGGGCCTTTATGGCCACAGTCTGACTTCCTGCCTTTGTTCTCAGCAGCCTTGGTAGGACAACGGCAGCGTTCACCTTAGGGTCCTTAGAGAAATCATCCCAATGGGGAAAGCTTTTCTCTCATTTTCTTTTCTCACAATTAACAGCACAAGACTCCTGGACACCATTCAACACACATGTCCTTCTGTTTATCTTGTGAGCCTTATAAAGGCTCCATTTCTCAGTGCCTCCTTTTGCTTTCAAATATCTGAAGAATTTCATTAAGAAGTTCATAAACTTCCATAAGATATGCTTTCCAATACACAGTTATAAACAAAAAAGGAGCTTCTGGGCCAGGCACAGTGGCTCACCTGTAATCCTAGCACTCTGGGAGACCAAGGTGGTTGGATTGCCTGAGCTCATGGGTTTGAGACCAGCCTGAACCAGAGTGAGATCCCATCTCTAAAACTAGCCAGGCATTGTGGTGGGCACCTATAGTCTCAGCTACTTGGGAGGCTGAGGCAAGAGAATTGCTTGAGCTAAAGAGTCTGAGGTTGCTGTGAGCTGTGAAGCCACGGTACTCTACCAAGGGTGACAAAGTGAGACTCTGTCTCAAAAAAAAAAAAAAAAAAAAAAAAAAAAGGAGCTTCTGGGAGCATAAATCTGTATCTCTATGGAAGGCATGTAATGGGTTGAGCTGTGTTTCCCCCAAATCTGTATGTTGAAGCCCTAACCCCCAGCAAGTCAGAATGTGACTTTATTTGGAAATAGGGACATTGCAGGTGTAATTAGTTAAGATGAGGTCACACTGGAGCAGGGTGGGTCCCTAGTCCAGTATGACTGACATCCTTATAAAAAGAGGAAAGTTGGACACAGAGACAGACACACAGAGAGAGAACACCAGGTAAAGATGAAGGCAGAGATCAGAGTGATGCTTCTACAAGCCAGGCAACACCAACAATGGCCAGTAAACCACCAGACACTAGGGGGGAGATATGGAAGAGATTCTCCCCACAGCCTCGAAAGGAACCAACTGTGCCCACACCCTGACCTCAGACTTCCAGCCTCCAGAACTGCAAGACAATAGATTTCGGTTGTTGATGCCACCTAGTCTGTGGTACTTTGTTATAGCAGCCCTACTAAGCTGCTATACAGGATCACCTGAAAAAAATCTATTAAATTTTTTTTTTTTTTTGAGACAGAGTCTTAGTATGTCCCCTTGGTAGAGTGCCATGGCATCACAGCTTACAGTGATCTCAAACTCTTCAAGAGATTCTCTTGCCTCAGCCTCCCAAGTAGCTAGGACCATAGGTGCCTACCACAATGCCCGGCTATTTTTTTATTGTAATTGTCATTGTTGTTTGGTAGGCCCAGGCCAGGTTTGAACCCGCCAGCCCCAGTGTACATGGCTGGTGCCCTAGCCACTGAGCTATAGGCACCGAGCCAAAAATCTATTATATTTTGTTACTGATTGATTTTTTTTGAGACAGAGTCTCACTCTATCGCCCTGGGTAGAGTGCTGTGGCATCACTGTAGTTCACAGCAACCTCAAACTCCTGGGTTCAAGCAATCCTCTTGCCTCAACCTCCCAAGTAGCTGGGACTACCAGTGTGTGCCACCATACTTGGCTAGTTTTTCTATTTTTAGTAGAGACAGGGTCTCATTCTTGCTCAGGCTGGTCTCAAACTCCTGAGTTCAAGTAATCTACACATCTTGGCCTCCCAGAGTGTTAGGATTACAGGCATGAGGCACTGAGCCCAGCAAAATCTATTAAATTTTACACGCACATGCCCTTTGACCCATTCATTTAATGACTAAGAATTTACTCTTTAGATACGCTCATCTGGACACTGCACAAACATACATGCATGATTCATTCTGAAGTGTCACTTAGCAAATAAATGGCCATCAGTAGGGCACTAAATTAAATAATTTGGGGCAGAACCATATAATGGAGTACAGCTCTTAAAAAGAACAAAGTAAATATTCTTTCAGGCAAGAATCATCATGGATGGAAAATCTAGGGAGGAATATCTGATGGGGAGCAGGATAACTGCAGGACCTCAAAGTGTCTTCTAGTACAGACTACATACAGGCTCCATCAGCAAGAAACAGACACCTCCCCAGCCAAGTGATCAAAGTTAACATCCTCTAAAAAGGGCACATGAACACTGTGCGCCTGAAGACTGAAGCCTAATCACTCAGGAGGCATTCTGGCCGGGAATATAGAACCTGAATTTCATCATGAAGCAGCAAATTCAAACTGAAGAACAGATGACAAAATAAGTGGCCTGTACTCTTCAAATTCCTCAACATCATGAATGACCAAAGCAAACTAAGGTATTGTATCCTAAAAGGAGACTTTTAAAGAGATATGACATCTAATATATGATCTTGGACTGGATCCTGAACAGCATACCAGGAAGGGGAGGAGGATACCACTTAGAATGTCACTGAAACAAATGATGAAATCAGATTGATGTTAAATTTCCAGAATGTGATGCTGTGCTGTGCCTATGTGAGAAAATATTCTTGTTTGCAGTAAACATATGTGGAGGTATTAGGGGGTAAAAGGACATAATGTAAGCAACCTACTCCAGATGGTCCAAAAATAAATAGTTCTGGATAGATAGCTGAGAATGATCAAGCCAACATGGTAAATGTTCAAAACATTGCTACTAAATAAAATGTGATACATACATACCACAGAGTAACACTCAGCAGTGAAATGGAGCAAACCACTAACATATGAAACAACATAGATGAACCTCAAAAACATTACACTTGAGTGAAAGAAGCCATTAAAAAGACTACATACTTTATGATACTGTTTATACGAAATTTCTAGAAAAGGCAAAATCGTAGAAACAAAAAATAAATCAGTGGTTGTGTGGGGCTGAGGTGAGAGTGGAGATCAATGGCAAATGGGCAGGAAGGAAATTTTGGGGGTGCTAGAAGTGTTTTACAACTGGGGTTTTGTGATGGAGCACCTTAGGTGAATGTTATGTAAATTACAGCTCAATAAAGCAGTTAATATTTCATTAATTTAGGTAAAGGGTATACAGGAATACTCTGTACTCTTCTTAAAATTTTTCTGTTAAGTTTAATTATTGCAAAATAATATTTTTTTTTTTTTTGAGACAGAGTTCTACTCTGTTGCCCTTGGTAGAGTGCTGTGGTGTCACAGCTCACAGAAACCTCCAACTCTTGGGCTTAAGTGATTCTCTTGCCTCAGCCTCCCAAGTAGCTGGGACTACAGGTGCCTGCCACAACACTTGGCTATCTTTTATTGCAGTTGTCATAGTTGTTTTAGCTGGCCTGGGCTGGGTGCAAACCTGCCAACTTCGGTGTATGTGGCTGGTACTGTAACCACTGTGCTACAGGCACTCAGCCTAATTTTTTTTTTTCAAGTCTCATTCTGTTGCCCTGGGTAGAGTGCCGGGGCATCATAGCTCACAACCACCTCAAACTCTTGAGCTCAAGAGATCCTCTTATCTCAGCCTCCCAAGTACCTGGGACTACAGGTGCCCACCACAACATCTGACTAGTCCGTCCTTCCTTCCTTCCTTCCTTTCCTTCTCTCTCTGTCTTTCTTTTTTAAAGACAGAATCTCACTTTGTTGCCCTCAGTAGAGTTCTGTGGCATCATAGCTCACAGCAACCTCAAACTGTTGGCTCAAGCGATTCTCTTGTCTCAGGTTCCTGAGTAGATGGGACTACAGGCACCCGCCATAGTGCCCAGCTATTTTTTAGTTATAATAAAAATAAATTTTAAAAATGATTTAAAATTGCCTTTCAGCTGGGTGTGGTGGCCCACACCTGTAATCCCAGCACTCTGGGAGGTCAAGACAGGTGGATTGCATGAGTTCAAGACTTTGAGACCAGTCTGGGCAATAGCAAGACCCCATCTCTACTAAAAATAGAACAACTGAGGCAAGACAATTTTGCTGTGAGCTATGATACCACAGCACTCTACTCAGGGTGTCAGAATGAGACTTTGTCTCACAAACAAACAAAAACACTCCCAACATACAAAAAAATTGCCTTTCATTTGAACAGACCAAATGTTGCTTTCAACTCATAGAACTATGTTCCCTGTTAACACTGGCACCGGATGCAGGTGTATTCCACTATTTTGGATAACAGAAATTGGCCAGGGAGGCTCACTTCACAAAGCCCTCTTGTTCTTCTTTAAGGACATTTTTCCTCACAGGTGGTGGTGACTGGCACAGACAGCTGTAGGGATGGTGTTACATACCTGGTCCTGTTTTCCCCAGATGATCTGCGTTGGGACTTTGATCTTGTCCATGTTCTGATGGAGAGAGTATCTGGACTTCTCATTGACGATTTCTAAAAACACTTGCCAGAAAAGGAAAACAAAGTGAGTATGTGCTGGGCTATTCCCGTGGGTACTACTATAGAGTCAAGGGAGAATCACCAGCCTACCATTTTTCCAGCCTACCATTTTCTCTCTTCAGAGGCCCAAAAAAACACTTAAAGCATTAGAGTTAAGAAGGAAAAGCCAGCCAGCCACAAGGCTTCACATGTGACAAGCTCCAAGCTGAAAGCAGGGCTACTTACGCTTCCGGTAGAAGTTGTTATGAGGGATACGGACATCAACAAGGCCTTGCAGGATCTAAGGATAAATAAATAACCCAAAGTTAGAAAGCCAGAGCAGACTCATTTCCTCAAGGCCCCTAACAGCTGTGGGACAGTGAAGAAGAATAAAGTCCAGCAACTTGCAACACTGTCAAGGTTTTTAGGCCTGGGCCTCTGATTCCTATGATGTGGTAGATGATGGACTAGGGAGTTAGCCTCACGAGAGGCTTTTTTTTTTTTAATTTTTAGAGACAGAGTCTCACTTTGTCACCCTCGGTAGAGTGCCATGGTGTCACAGCTCACAGCAACCTCCAGCTCTTGGGCTTAGGCGATTCTCTTGCCTCAGCCTCTCAAGTAGCTGAGACTACAGGCACCTGTACAATGCCTGGCTATTTTTTTGTTGCAGTTTGGCTGGGTCCAGGTTCAAACCCGCCACCTTCGGTATACGGGGCCAGCACCCCACTCACTGAGCCACAGGCACCACCCCAGCTTTTTTTCAATTAGAAAGGAAGCTGGGTAAACCATGAAATCAGAGGCACCCTACATCATGTAATATGACACCTGAGATGGATGGATAGCTGTTTTATCTTGAAAATTTGCTGCTTAGCTTAAGATGAACATATGATCAAGGATGAACATATGATCAAGCAATTATTCAATATTATCCAAATGCTGAACAAGGTCTATTAAAAAAAATTAAACCATATGGGATGATGGAACTATTAAATAACAGAGAAATAAACTATTGAGCAAATTTGCAGGAAGGTTCTATAGTCCTTTCATTTGACATTGTCCTTGTCTTTTCTGCTGAGGGCTGGTGAGGAATGAAAACAGACCAGATCTGGACCTGGGTTACTGACTCAAAGGGGTAGCTGTGGCCAAAAGGCACATAGTCTTCTTCTTCTGCCCCAGGATTCTTGAGGTTGAGTACAGGGTTTACATTAGCAGATGCAACTTCTCTCATCTACCTGGAACCAGGTCTGAACCCCCTTGATGTACGGTCTCAGGAGTCCCTTACCCTCCAGGCTCCAGCCAGCCAGGCCTCCTTCCATTGTCTTGAATGTGTCTTTTTCTAGTCCTGCAAATGCTGTTCCTCAGAGACGTTTATCAAACTACCCCTGCCTCCCTGTTCACAATCCCTATACCATCTTCATTTCCTCTATAAAACTTATTAAAATAGGTAATTATTTGTTTTCTTTTTACTGTCTGCCTCCCCTATGGTCGACCCAGGGACTTTCCCTGTCTTACTTATTCACCACTGTGCTCAGCACAGTACCTGATATATCCCATGCACAACAGAGATTCCTACAGAATGAAGAAATGGAAGAGGGCAAGAAGGAGTTGATGAGTAGGTGAAGGAGGGATGTATGAAAGAAGCTGGTACTTGCCCCATGAGCCATGGGAGAGGGCAAGTGCATCACTGCTGAGACCATGTTACCTGCTGGGGCACCTTGAAACGAACATATGAGCAGAGCTGGAGCATTTCACTCATCTCTTCTGGGGTGGACGGGATCAAGGGAATCTTCTCAACAGCAGCAGAATCCTGCAGTTCTTTCAGCCGCTGTACAAACTGATTATCAGATGAGTACTGCAGGCCTGTAGGATTCAAAACGAAATGGCGTGACAATAAATCTACTTTCTTGCCAACACTCATTTTAGTAGGGAACTACCAACAGCAGCTCAGAGCCAATATACTTCAGGTTTCCTTCATGAGTAGATTCCTTTTTAACTGGTCCTGCCTTCCCTGCTCAAGGTCAAAACCACACTCTGAGAAACAGAAAAAAAAGCCCTTGAAGGTATTTCAAGGACTGGTTTCTCACACTGTGGGCTACGGATGGGGAACACCAGAAGCCCACAAGAAATGCAGAAGCTCAGCCCTTCCCTAAGCCTCTTGAATCAGAATTTGCATTTTTACCAGTTGACGGGGGATTCATATGTATGACAGGGCTTGAGAAGTCTAGAAGACAACTAGGCTGAGCACATCCGTGTTGTGGAGAGGAGGAAATATATAATGGGAAGAAAACACCGGGCTGGAGGGACTGACTACGCCATCCCTTGGTGTGGACCCACCCAGCACTGTCTTACTTGGAGTCAGTGCACAAAACACCGGGAAGGTGTGAGCCTTCTCCTGAGCTGCCCCCAGTTGCCCTCTACACAGTCCCTCTTCCTCCAGAACCTCAGGGGATCACTGAGACTGATTCTCTTTGAGATTGTGCATGATTCTTATTACCCAGAGCTTGACGCAAGGATTCCACAGAAGCTGACAAAATACAGGAAGGCAAAACTCATTTTCACTTCCAACACTGAGCAAATTTCTAGGTGTTTAACTTAGCCAAAAACCTAGATCTTAAAAAGAAAGGCCACAGCATCAATAACATCAGTCATGCTATAGAAATCCACACTTATAACTCTACATCCAGCAACCCCTTTAAATCTAACATGATACATGGCTTTCACAACGTAGTGGAGCAGATTTACATTTTTTATGTCATCTCTTTTAAAAATAATCCTTGGCTAAATGTCATGTGGTATCCTGATTTGAATCCTGCAACAGAAAAAGGACATTAATGGAAAACTAAATGAAATCCAAATAAAGCCTGGAGCTTAGTTAATAGTACTGTACCAATGTTGGTTTCTTAGTTATGACAAATTGATTATAGTAATATAAACTATTAACAAATGGGAAAACTGGATAAAGAGAATGCGGGACTCTCTGTACTATAGCTGCAACTATTAAACAACAGAGAACTAAACTATTGAGCAAACTTGGGGGAAGCAAATTTTTGTAAATTTAAAATTATTTCAAAATTTTAAAAAAGTTTATTTTAAAAAAACTTAGGTAGGATATAATCCTGAATTTCTACTTTTTCATTTTCACATACCAATACACTTAATTTAAAATTTCCACTTGAAACTCAGGTGTTAAATTCTTCACTGAGCAAATGAACATACACTTTTAAAAGCCAGTTAGACTTGACTTCCCATATTTGATTTAGAATCTAATAATCTTCCACAGGAACTGTTCCTTTAATTCTCAAATTTTATTATTAAAAGATAAAATGATTTCAGAAGTGGTGCTTAGAAAAAAAAAAAGAAAACCTTTGGGGGCTGGACTTCAACTTCAATGTCCTTAAAGGACCTGAAAACTTTCAGAGTGGCAGAAGGATTTTAAAGGCCATTAAGTTTCAGTAAAAGACATACATGTTCCACTCATGGCTAGGTTCTATAATGTTAAATCATATAAAGGGGTAGTGGGTGTGAGTCATATAAAGGAAGTATTAAATATGAAAGGACTTCCAACAAAGCCACAGTTTGGGTTTTGGAGTCAGAGAGCCTGGAATCTCTTCCTATCCTGGCTCTGGAACTAATGTAATCTATTTTATCTTAAAGTTCCCATCTATAGGCTCGGCGCTTGTGGCTCAAGTGGCTAAGGCGCCAGCCACATACACCTAAGGTGGTGGGTTCGAATCCAACCC